ATTACTTTTAGAAGTCAATGCAGGTTCTTCACAACCAATTTCTGAAAGAACTCTCCGCAGGGAACTGCATACCATGAACATATGAAGCAGAGTGGCCTGTAAGAGGCCTTTTCTCACTTCTGCTCACATAGTTGCCCGGTTACAGTGGGCGAATAGACACAAAAACTGGGCTGTTCATGACTGGAAATGTGTTATCTGGTCAGATAAGTCTCGTTTCTGCCTGTATGTGAATGATGCTGGGCGTTGTGTTAAACATAGACCTCAGGAAGCCTTCAATGAGGACTGTGTGCAGGTGTGGTTCAAGCTGGAGGAGCTCTGTGATGTTCTGAGGTGTTTTAATTATGCAAAAATGGGCCCTTTTGTTGAGGTGACAGTAAATTTGAACCACAGTGCCGACACTAAGCTGCTGAACAACCAGGTTTTGCCTTTTGGTCATCTTACCGAGGAACATTCCTAACCCTGTATTTCAGGATGACAATTTTTGCGTTCAAAGGGCTGCAAATGTGACTGATTGGCATGATGAACATTCAGGATCATTCACACATCCGGACTGGCCCGCAAAATCCCCAGATTTGAATCCTCTTGAAAATCTGTGGGACGACCTGGAACAACGAGTAAGACGCCAGGGAAGGCTCCACGAAATCTGGCCGAACTGCGCAATTCTTTGATGCAAGAATGGCTGAACATTGATGTCACCTACATCCGGAAACTCGTCCAGTCCGTGCCAAGTCGAAGCATTATTCATGCTTGTAGAGGTATTGCATGCTATTAGTTATGTTTCAGTCACAGGTGACTCATTTTTTGTCCGGTGAACTTATTAAATTTGCCTGGAATGCACTTTGTTGCTTCCTAGAACAATGTGGAGGTTCTTTCAACTTTAAAACGGTTCTTTACACTCACATATCTTACTTACAATAATAGTTAAAAAAAACAAATAACCATCCTTGGAGGGGAACTAGAAGTGGTTCTTCTGTGGCTGTGGTCACCAACCCTGCTCCTGGAGATTTACCTTCCTACAGACTTTAACTTCAACCCAGATCCATCTAATTACTGCCCTCAGAAGTCCTTGATTAGCTGAGGGAGGTGGTTTAGATTTGGGGTGGAGGTGAAACCTGCACCCTAGATCTCCAGGAGGGTTGGTGACCATGGTTCCATGGCTTTGCTCAAAGAACCCTTTTTGCAGAGGTGTAAAGAGTACTGAAAATCCCTACTTAAGTACAAGTACTGTTACTGTAGTGACAATTTACTCAAGTTCAAGTAAAAGCATTAGTAAATAAAATGACTCAAGAGTAAATAAGTAGTTCTCTGAAAAACTACTTAAGTACTAAGTTACTTAGTTACTTTCTCGTATTTCCGCTGTCACAACCTGAACATATTTCTGAGCTACTCAGCTACATCACTGGAAATAATCTGTACAGAAAAACACTAAAGCTAACGTTCAGAGAGCTGAGACTGATCACAGTTCGCTCTGCTAGAGCACATCTACACACCTTTCTGTGAGCTGAGTCAGGAACAAGGTTTACATTAAACTGCATGTGTTTCATGGTTAGACGATTGTATAAGATGTCCTAGTTTATCTGTTTCCAGTAAAGTATTTCAGAATCCCTGAAAGACTGAGCAGAGGATGTTACTGTTTCAATGAGTACATTTAAGAGAAAAAAATAGTCAAAATTATGAGTAAATTGCTTAATTAATAATGTGACTGGACTCTAGCTTACGTTAATAGGTGTGAACCTCTCACAGCCTTCAAACTGTATATTATTACTGATATCTGCTACAGCTACACAGCCTCTCACAGTTAAAGACAAACACAAAGGCAGAGAGAGAGAGAGAGAGAGAGAGAGAGACAGAGACAGGGAGAGAGAGAGAGAGAGAGAGAGGGCGGGGAGGAGGGATCAGATCAGGCCTGTCAACGACAGCGCGACAGAATCGCTGCTCAGAGTTGATGAAGATCCTGTATTAGACTAGATTTCTTGTCTTCACGATCGTTTATCTCCAAAACAGCAGCAAACCTAGGCTGTATAAACGGTAACCTGTGGGCTGTGGGCGACACCTGTTAACCAAAGCGTTTGACAAGCACTGTAATAAAATATACGCAGCAGATTTCCAATGTAATAAACAGAATCATTATAAAAGAAAGAAGAAACCCGTAAACACGGTACCTGTTTAGCTCAGATCAGCTAGCTTGGTTAACGCCGCCTCAGGCTGGAGTCGAGCTGTGAGAGCGATTCTCAGCAGGTTTCGTGTTTGGCCGCTGATAATAACACCGTTTTCTTTAGTTCGTGTTAAATGAACACAGATGACCGTTTGGATGTTGATCTGTTCCTCATGTGTGCTGGTTCAGTTCTCCTCTGTCCTTCTTCACTAAACAGGACATCTCTGCACTGTTTTTTCTGGTTGGAGCTGCTGTTTTTTGATTGGTGAATCTTTTAATTTTAACCACTCTTCGTTCGTATTGGTGTCTGAGCTGATACGCTCATCATTTATTTTTACTCTGTAACATTAAGAAAATTAAAGTAGCGAAGTAAAAGTATTACATTAAAAATTAACTCAAGTAAAAGTACTATGATTTAATTCTACTCCAAAAAGTACCGTTACAGGGAAAACTGTACTCAATTACAGTAACGAGAGTAAATGTAATTCGTTAGTTACACCTCTGCCTTTTTGAGAATGTAGAGTGTAAAAACAAACAGCAAAGTTCTCTTAGGCCAGATCTATTTGGGAGTCTGTTTAAGATTCTGAACTGGGGGCTGACCTGTAGATCTTGTTTGAGGTGTGTAGTGGTGGATTCTGTGGGTGAAGTGCAAGAAACAGTTGCAAGGCTGCACAAAATTCATGATGTGATGTAATCCCTGTTTTGGATCTAGTTACACTTTCGTTCTTGCTCTGGACTGTCCCATTTATTCCGTCTAAAGGGGGTTCCCCACATGTACTCCAATATGCCCTTTGGTGAGGTCACCTGAAGTTCCCTTGAGGATAAAAACATGTTGCATTACTTTGCCACAGAAGGTCACGGCACTGTACAGGTCCTAATACGAGACAATTATTAGATATTACTGATGATGTAAGGTCATTATATCATTAATATTTCACGTAGGTGCATCTAAACTTCATAGCCGTTCTTTTGAGGGTCCAGCTGTACTCTGAGACACTTCCTGTCCCGCCCAAAAAACCAACCACCATGCATCTCAGTAAAGGAGGAGCCGCCATTTTGAATAGAAGCAGACATCCTGTCTCACAGTGTCAAAGTTTCACAAGAAGTGAAACCTGCCCTTGTTCTCTAAATGAAGATTGTGGTCAGGAAGTCTGGTCGCTGCTTTTTTTTGGGTGTTTTGTGAAGAATTGCTCTTGCTTTTCCATTTGTTGATGGAGAGAGTTCACATTATATGCTGGTCACCACTGCAATGGTTAGTTTTATTAGTGCAAAAACAAAAACACAGTGTAAGAAATATAGTTTTTTATTGTTAGAAGCAAAACATAACTGTACTTTATATATGTACAACAATCAATGGTTACAGAATGGTTACAGTTTATTTTAATTCATATGTACACTATCAAAATGAAGGTTGGATTACTTGGAAAAACTACCAGCCCAGCTAGGCTTCCTCAGTAATACAACAATGTAATGTGAATAAAAAGCTTAAGTAAATTAAATTAGGGACTACAGAAACAATAAAAACAAGTTATAAGCAAAATAAAACAATCCCTACTGTGGATACGTTTATTAAAATCAATATGCTGATCGATGTGTTGTCAGTTTATCACATCTTAAATCTTAATAAGTGAAAGTACATCAGAAGTGATATTTCTAATGCTTCCTAACATTTTACAAATTCAATAAAGCTATTAGCTGTTAAATTATTACGCATTATGTGATAGCGATTACAAACAAACCTGTAATCCTATGAGGAGGAACATTTAATTTATAAATACATGTAAAGTGTATATATATATATATATATGTATATATATGTATATATATATATATATATATATATATATATATACACACACACACACACACACACCGATCAGGCATAATATCAGGACCACCTCCTTTTTTTAAGCTCATTGTCCATTTTATCAGCTCCACTTACTATATAGATACTATACACTATACACTTTGTAGTTCTACAATTATGGACTGTAGTTACTGGAGTTTATAAACACTGTGTCCACTCACTGTCCACTCTATTAGACACTTGTCAGTCCACCTTGTAGATGTAAAGTCAGACACAATAGCCCATCTGCTGCACAGTTTGTGTTGGTCATCCTCTAGTCCTTCATCAGTGGTCACAGGACGCTGCCCACAGGACGCTGTTGGCTGGATATTTTTGGTTGATGGACTATTCTCAGTCCAGCAGTGACACTGAGGTGTTTAAAAACTCCAGCAGCACTGCTGTGTCTGATCCACTCAGACCAGCACAACACACACTAACATACCACCACCACATCCGTGTTAGTGCAGTGCTGAGAATGATCCACCACAGAGTACCTGCTCTGTGAGGGTCCATGGGGGTCCAAACCACTGAAGAACAGGGTAAAAGGGGGCTAACAAAGTATGCAGAGAAACAGATGGACTACAGTCTGTAATTGTAGAACTACAAAGTGCACCTATATAGTAAGTGGAGCTGATAAAATGGACAATGAGCATAGAATAAAGGACAGGTCATAATGTTATGCCTGACTCCTGGTCATTTAAATTTTTTCCCATTACGTTCTTATCCAATTAACTAGGACTGTATTGTCGCTCTGTTTCTGACTCTGCAGTAAGCTGCTAGTGAGCAATGAGGAATGAAAGTTTTTGATATAAAAAGATATTTATAATTAAAAAATCAACAAAATAATTTGACCAGGGCGGCCAAACTGTTGCACACAACCGTGTATATATCTATATATCTATCGCTGTTGTCGGAAGAAAACCTTGTATCTCTAAAACAGTAACTTTACAGGAGAAGGAAAAAACCTACTTTACTTTTAATGTAAGTCAACTGAAGTCAATGGACGTCTTTCCAAGTCATTTTGGGCTGCTTCTTTTGGCCCATTCATCATGAAACTTACACATAATATAAGGGGCAAAAGGCATTTTCAAATTATGTCAAAAACTGAATCAGAATCAGACAGAATAGCAGAATAATAGCTGCAATGTGGCATGGAGTGTTACTGCCTGAGGCACTGAATACTGGTTAAACTATAACAGGAAGCTAAATGCTCTCTCCTCATCTTTGTTGCATTTTGGGAAAGCGTGATGTGAACGGCTCTTCACTTGTATCCCAGTCCAGATTTACTGATGTGGCAGAACAGCGTCATGGAGAAGCACATGCCCAAAACCTAAACAAGCAGAGACAGAGGTGAGTGAAGGACTATCTTGGGCTGTTAGTGCTGAAAAAGGAACAGCAAGAACCTGATTCTACATCAGAGTAATGTTTACATATACGCCATTTGGCAGACACTTTAGCATGACCTTCCCTGCAGCAGACTGGGGTTTGACTCCCTGCCCAGGTATCTTTGGGCTAGACTTCTAAAGCTGGCTTAACATGGTAAAACTTTCATGCAACTGGTTGCAAGCTGTCTGCAACCCAGCTGCACGCAACACATTCAGTTACTCCACTAGCCAAATAAAACAGCTTGTATTTGATCTATCATGTTCTCGGGATATCAACTCATCTGCAATGTGTTACTATTTCAGAATTACAAGTACTGTTATAGGGTTACTGGTTGCAGTAGCTTCGTGTCTTGTCATTTCCTAGTTAAAAGACAAAATAAACACACTAGACGCGGTAGCCATGTGTTCTTATGTTGATTGATTCACCATTTTCGTCTGTAACATGCACTTCATGTCTGTTTTTAATACTTTCCTCATGTGCCATGCTAGCAGTTTCTAGCTAGGAACAGTACAATATGAGGTGTTCTTGCTATATTGTGCAATGTAGGCCTTTAATCAAAGTAGCAGTTCGATAAATTTTGACTTCACGAAGGTTCTAGAGTCTGTTGGACTGATGTGAGAAACAACTGAGGAATCAACTGGTCAAAACCTGTTCCAGACACAGCTAATAGCCTTGTCCGATGTGAGCAGCACAAAGTTAATTTAACTGGTAACTGGAAAATAGACATCTGTAGGTTATATTAACGTCTCTGTTAGTGGAAAAAAACAAACATGGGCAAAAAATACAAGTCACATCATCATGAGTCATGTTGGTGTGATGCGTCACGTAGCAGTTTAGTCTTACCACACAGCTGCCACAGCGCTTCTGGTGTCAAACTGGCTTTACAGTTTCATGTTACAGAAGGTGGCTAATGTACACAGACCTGAATGATTTTTAGAAAATATGTTGTACTTTCTTGGAACAAAATTGTGATTTAAATGTGATTATTTTCTCTAAATCAAGCTCACTGAATTTTTTTCGCTAAGGATGCTAAAAGTGAACATAGCAAGTTAGACTGCCAGTTCACATAGCTCCACATTTTCAGATTAGATTAAACATAAAACTTGTTAACTTGATATATTTCTGTACAGAGTGTCTACTATATGTCCTAACTGTCATTTGTGGTCTTCAACAGTGGTTAAGACTGATGCATTTAAAGGCAAAACATGCTCTGGTGGCTAGCAGTGAAAGGAAGCTAGGAGGCAGCAGGCAGCATGATGTCATTTGCACATTGCTAAAAGGGGCAGTTTTTCTCTTTCATATGTGGTTTTGCATCATTAGCCCTCCAGCACAAACTTGACAGAAACACTTAAATAAGAGATAATAACAGTGTTGGGCATGTTTTAGCATTTTAGCATGCAGGCTTGTCTTTGTTTTGTTGTTGGTTAATACATTCAGAAGAACTTAGCATAGCTAGAAACACATTAGACTTAAAATATCCACCTGAATGCTTAGCATTTCCTTTTTATGGTTTCAGTAGACCTGTGTGAAGAACTACTGACCACAAAGTGCTATTTGACATTAATTATCAGAAGCTCAGGGTCTTTAAAACCATAATGTCAGAGAGATGATAGTCTATAGTCTGAGGTAAAGTGTGGGACCCAAAATGCAATAACTAATGGATATTATGTTGGTGTAACATACAGCGTAACTGCTGCTATCCCTGTAGAGGACTTGAGTTGTGAGTTGCCTGCAACCTATTTTCTGGGCAATTTGACAGTTACCTGAAGTGATTCAGAAACAAAGTTGCATGAAACATTCATTTCCTCCACCAGCCAAATAAAGCAGCTTGTACTGTTTGATCTATCATGTTGTTCTCATGATACAAATTCATCTGTGACATGTTGCCAGTACAGAATTACGGGATTAGTTAGTGTTACTGGATTTAACACTAACACTAGCTTTGTTTCTTGTCATCACTCAGTTATCTGACAAAAGTCACTTAGCTGTTCATTTTCTTGTCTATCTAGCTGACATCGTTTGTAATCAATCCTTTGAAATGGTGGCGTTTGATGCGACCACATGATGTGCTATGGCTGTTTTGATTGGCTGTTTCATGAAACTGAAGCAACTGTTGCGGCTGAGTTTCAAGTGAGTTGCAGGATGCAATTCAAGTGCAATTTAGTTTCATGTAGGTTTCAAGCAGCCACAATTGCATGAAAGTTTGACCGTATAAAGCCAGTCTAATGCTACATTCACATGATTAAGAAACTGGAAGATGCTCAGTATCTGCCAAATGCATAAATGTTAGTAATCAAAAGACGGATCTGTACCTCAATGCTGCACACAATGATGACCCCAATCCCGGTGCCCAGGAGGTTTCCCTCAAACCAATTCTTCAGCTTTGTATAACAGCCCTACAAATGCACACATACATATATATAGTAGGTACATTTTTGTCAATGCAGCAAATACTGGTAGTATTTTACAAATATCAATGTATTTTTCTCTGGTCAACTTCAACAAATTATTGATACAGTCATATGTGAAAGTTTGGGCGCCCTTGGTGAACTGACACTGATTTTCGAACTGAAAATTCACTGTAGAGAACATACTTTTGCACATTTTAACATAAAATGTGGCCTGTGCAAATGTTATAGCATATTAAATGTTAAATGCCATCAAGTTCCCTGTTAATTCATTTTCACGATCAGCAAAACATGTCGTTTCACCGTGCATTCAACATGGTGGTGGTAATATGAGGGAAGACTGATTGAGGGAGGGGAGAGAACTCTGAGAACTTGGCCTGGAGCTCTGGGCAGCTTCTGCCTCTCGCTAGAAGGCCGGACCTCCCTTGTAACTGACTGGACAAGATGGTGATGGTGATTGCGGGAACTTTGTCATGGGAAACGGAAGGTAAGGGTGTGAATTTATAGGGAATTAGACTGGTAGAAGGAGGATTTTCAGGCATGTTCCTCCTCCCAAACGTCAGTAATTCTATAATTCCATATATAGCTGTAAGCCAATGTGGTGGAGCTGCCAGCAGTAAAATTTGGCAACATTTTAAACATTTTTTTTCACTTTGCTGCTTGCAAAATCTGTATAAAATCAATGAAACCAAGTTAGTCCGTTATAAATGCTTTTTTTGCAGACATTGATTCAGCACAGCTCAATGGAAGAAGAGGATTCAAAAGGCGCCATACCTGTGTCCAGTACGGCTCAGAGCCATTGCAGTGTTGGGACTTGCAGCACGACTTGGGTACGTGGCTTTCCCAGTCTGATGCATTTTGCACTCCACAGCATTGAAACTGTAGTGAAAGTGATTGCAGTCCTCAGTAGGGATCAGCATTATATTCTCTGAATATATTGTAGATTTTGTACATTTGAAGCGTAAGAAAACAGCTTTGTAAACACTTACTGTCGTCTGAACAGTGTTCCACTCGATGCTGGTTGTGTTCTTTTCTATTGCCTTCAGACTTTTGGTTAGTCCTTCGTTTATCATTTTGTCAATCTACAGGCAATACAGAAGATATAGTAAGTTTCATTGCTGTCTTTGTTGTACTCTGTTTGGCTTTGTCTCTAACTCTCAGCTCTTTAGCGTTTCACCTGATTATCAAAGCTCAACCCCAAAAAATGGGGACAGCATGTGAAATGCGAAAACAGGAAGACGCGATTACTAAATTCTGTTCTTATTCATTTGAAAACAGTAAAAAAGACACCTTAACTACTTTTGTTTGATGCCTGCAAAGTTCCAAAAAATTGGGACAGGAGCATGTTTACCACTGTGTTACATCAACTTTTCTTTTAACAGCACCTAATCACTTGGTGACTGAAGACAGCAGTTGATCCAGTTTGAATGCATAATCCACAAACATGCTATTGTAACGTGTACTATGTTTCTTGGCGTCGTCGTGTTGGAATAAGCATGGACGTCCCTGAAAAAGACGTCGTCTAGAAGGCAGCATGTTGCTCCAACATGTGTAGATATCTATCAGTGTTAATGGTGCTTTCATAGATGTGCAAGTTACTCACTGATATCCTCTCATACCATGAAAGACCCTGGATTTTCAACTTTACACTGGTAACAATCTGCATGGTCTTATTCTTAGCCCGGAGAGCGCAACATCCATTATTTACATATTTAATCTGAAAGCCTGTATCATCTGACCACAATACATATTTTCCATTGTGCATCAGTCCATTTCAGATGAGCTCAAGCTCAGAAAAGTTGTTGATGTTGTTGATAAAAATGGCTGCCACTGTGCATAGTACAGTCTTATCTTGCAATTGTGGATGCAACAATGTTTATTGACAGTGGTTTGTCGAAGTATTCCCGTGCCCATGCAGTGATATCCATCTGCCTGAGGGGTCAAAGGTCATGGGCATTCAGTTGTGGTTTTTGGCCTTGCACTTTATGCTCCTGATTTCCTGAATCTTTCAATGTTATTATACAGTGTAGAGTGTGAAATACCTAAAATCCTTTAAATCACTCATTGAGGAACATTGTTCTCAAACTTTATTCACTGGCGCATTTGTTTTGTCAAAGTGGTGAGCCTCATCCCATCCTTGCTCATAAAGGTCTCGGCCTTTCCTGGATGCTCCTTTCATACTCAAGCATGACTGCATCACCTGTTTTTTTATATTTTACAACATTTCTAGTCTTAATTCCCATCTTTTTCAGAACCTGTTGCAGGCATCTACTTCAGAACAAGCATATATGGTCAATACAGGTCTCAGTGGATTTACAAATCACTACTTTCTGTTCTTAGTTGCATTTCACTTACTTTTTTTAGGTTCTTTTTTTTTAGGTTCATATTTGCCTTGATTGGCTTTCACATATTTGCTGAATTCCTTCAGGATCTGGACTGTTTACCTGACAGAGAATGCTCCCAGATTTTAGTGCAGAAGTTTAATCTGTAAAGATATTTCTCTTACCTGGCTTTCATACATGAGCAGGACACTAGCCATGGCCAGCTCAGCCAGCATCACCAGGAACAACAAGATGAAAAACTGAAACACATCAAAATTCACAATCAGCCTTCCAGACCAACAGCTATTAAAATAACATCTTCAGTTGTGTTGAGCAATGATGAGAACTTTCAGGTTAAGCTTTGCTTTTTTGGGCCAAAATATGAAACACAGCATAAAAAAGGAAAACGATTCTGAAGGCTGCTGTGCTTTATAACATTTGCTGGAGCACTTTGGTCAGAACATAATCGTTTAAAGGTTATTTCATTACCATTTAAGTGGTACCTAAAGTTCCAGAAGTCTTGTTCTGAATAAAAAGCTAAGAAATGGACTTACAGAAATGAGCAGGCAGCGGTTCTCTTTGAGGGCTCCCAGGAAGCCCAAGAAGGACACACAGGTGATGAATATTCCCAGGATGAAGAGTCCATTAGTAACGCTCATGGCTGGGATGGATGGCACGAGGGCTGAGAAATTGAACGTCGTCTTCAAGTAGATCCCGACTCCCAAGATGCCAACTCCACAGATCTGTAAGGCCATCGCAGTCTATTAACTTACACTTCACCAGAGTCAACAAGTCCCACAGACACAGGGTTTAGAAGTTTGCTTCTTTACTTTTACACTGCAGCTTTGAGGGTAATGTAGCTAACAAGCAAAGGAAGCTTTTATCCCACAAATTAGCATTGTAATAATAATAATAATAATAATAATAATAATATAATAATAATAATAATACTGCCAAAATTTGAAAAAAAATCAGGCTTCAAGGCTTGTTTTTGCTGTGCTAACTAACTTTCGCCTATGTTTATAGATAACAGTATGTTGTTATAAAATTATGTGATTAATCTACATATTGTGTGCTTAAAATAGGCTTTATCGTTAAACAGAAAAGGACATATATGGCTCTATGGCTTCAGATGGAGATCTACAGAACTGAAATATTGCCACTGTTAATCATTACCCAAGTAATTTACAATTTAAATGGAAAACATAAAAGTTGATGCACACATCTCCATCTTGATCTTAAGATGAAGAAGCGTTTTGTCATAACATTAACTTTCCATGTAAAATAACACAGCTAAGGCTCTCATACATTATTTAATGGATCAGGAACTAAATCAATTAGTGTGCATTGTGTGTGTGTGCAGATACGTACAAAGAAGATGAAGTTCACCACACACATGGTGTACTTGAGGCACTTGAGGCAGGACATGGTTGCTTTCTGCTGTTCAGCCCTGCAAAATCATAAGATACATTAGCACCACTGAAGTGGACACAAGGTGAAAACGCCTTCGTGTTGGATAGTATCCACTACAGTTCAGAAGTTTGTCATATTAATAATCATTATTCAGTAATAACCTATACGGTGTGATGGTTTATACACAATTTATTCATAACTTGAAGTAATAATATTAAAACATGAACTGTAATTCTGTGTTTAAAGTAACTGCCTGACATAAATCAACTATAAATAGCTATTTGGTAAGTGAGATTTGGTCACTGCTTTTCCAATATGAGGCATTCTGGATATTAATGTTATCATAAGTTCATTCTTTATGCTGTATGGCTTTCTCAATCATTATGATATCATCTACAGCTTGGTTCATCGTTGAAAATGTCTTAATTTCTTACAACTGTTTTGAAACCTATAGAGAATTCATATTAGAAATAGAAGAGCATCATATTAGAATGAAATTATGCATATGCAACAAATATGTGGTGCTGAAAACAGTGATTCCAGTCTTTTGAACGGTGTATATTACTCCCTTAAGCTTTCTTTAAATGTCCACACCCTAAAGCTTATTATTCAGCCAGTACATGCAAAACCATGCAAAATGCCTGTATTATATTAATGTCTTACAGGTGAGAAATGTAAGTTTGGATCTGCTGATGGGTCTGTCAAAGTTAAGGGGTTATTCCACTGATTGGCTGCCAAGCGTTGACAACCAAAAACCAAACAATATATAAATAAATATCTAATACAGAAAGACCATCTACTTCTATGCTGTGATGCAATGGTCAGACATTCTAGAGGACTGAGCAGATGTGGGGCAGTCGTGAGCTGGAGGTTAGGGAACCAGCCCTGTGACCGGAAGGTCGCTGGTTCGATCCCCTGATCTGACGGTACGTGACTAAAGTGCCCTTGAGCAAGATACCCAACTCCCAACTGCTCCCCGGGTGCTGCGGATAGGGCTGCTCACCGCTCCGGGCAAGTGTGCTAACTGCCTCCTAGTGTGTGTGTTCACTAGTGTGTATGTGGTGTTTCACGGCATGGATGGGTTAAATGCGGAGGTGAAATTTCCCCGTTGTGGGACTAAAAAGGGTGACTTAATCTGAACTTAATGTAGTGTAAGATGGGATTTCACCAGCTGGGACCCCACAGGGCCTTTTATGTAACAGAACCATCATGCTTGGTGTATTTAAGCTGTGTAAGTACTGTATTTCATTGTTGAGTTTTGTTTGGGAACAAAAGAGTTAAGATCTTGACAGAAGACTCAACCAATTATGTTTTGATTTCCAATTCAAATGTCACTCTAGGCCTTCTGGAAGCTCTAGATATGTCAATAACAGTTTCGGTTAGTTCTTAGGAATGGAAAATAACTAAAAGAGGACTCATTACTGAAACAGTCGCTATAAGACTGATACATATAGTGTCAATACATGTTAATGTCTGTTACAAGCTGTATTTTGTAATGTTTTTCACAAGATTCAAATGTCCGTGTTTAATCTAGTACGGCCAAAAAATGTTGACGTGCCCCAGATTTTGTGCTAACATACTATTAGCACTACTGTAATTTCTTCCCCTGCGTGTCCACTGGTCAACACAGATAGAGCTACACATACTCTGCCCTGTTGATGGAACCCCACTCTTTCTTCTCTGTGACCTCAACTTTCCATCAGACAAGCTACAATCATCCTGCCTCCTTCCACCGTTGTCATCTTTTGACCTCACCTTCAACCAATCCCCTTGAACGCACAGCGCAGGCAACATTCTGGACCTGATCTTCAACTGACTTACCACAGCACTGGATTTCACAGTTCCCTCCTCCACTTCTCACATCAACAATTTCTGTCCCTCCCTGCTCTCCCTGTCTGTATCACCTGACCTGTTCTACCTGCACCTGCCACAACTTGCACCATTGTGCCTCCCACCCTTGTCCCTTACTTCAGGTATCCCGACTAAACTACCACACCCTGACTCATGTTCGTCTCTCCCTTCCTTTTCTTTCCATCTCCAGACCAGTCATATCCCCACCTGTTTCTCGGCTGACAGGTTCCCTGCTTAGCAAATGAGGAGAGCTAAGAACGGCTGGGAGAAGGAAATGACAACTAGGTTGTGATCTTTGCTCACACTAATCTCTCCCTTCTAAGTTCTTGTTGGCAGTCACTGTTGCAAAGTTATCTTTCTACACAGGGAAACTGGAAGTATCTGCATCTGATTCATGCAAGGTCTTGACCATTTTCTCTTCTCTTCTTAACTCTGCCCCACCACCCGCTTCTTCTGCTCCAGAGGATTGTCACCTTCTTCGAGGATCTAACCAGCTCCAGGATCCCAACCATTCTGGCTTCCTGTCTTGCTAACCAGCTTCAGGATCCCAACTATTCTGACGTCCTGTCTTTCTAACTGGGTCCAGAGTCTCAACCATTCTGGATTCTAACTGTCTTTCTAACCTACTTCAGGATTCTGACCATTATGACTTCTAACCATCTTTCTAACAAGCTCCAGAGTCTCAACCATTCTGGCTTCTTGTCTTTCTAACCAGCTCCAGGATCCCAACCATTCTGGCCTCCTGTCTTTCTAACCAGCTCCAGAGTCCCCACTTTTCTGGCTTCTAACTAACCAACTTCAGGACCCATCCATTCTGGCTTCTAACTGGCTCACTCCACAAAAACTGTCCCTGTAAAAGTGATTAAGTGACCCATATTAGTCCCACAATGGGGAAATTTCACCTCCGCAATCTAACCTATTTGTGCAGTGAAACACCACATACACACTAGTGAACACAAACACTAGGGGGCAGTGAGCACACTTGCCTGGAGCAGTGGGCAGCCCTATCCGCAGCGCCTGGGGAGCAGTTGGGTGTCTTGCTCAAGGGCACGTCAGTCATGTACTGTCGGCTCAGGGGATCAAACCGGCGACCTTCTAGTCATAGGGCTGGTTCCCTAACATCCAGCCCATGACTGCCCCCCCAAAAATCGTGAGAAGCTCCTTGTATCAAGACCAGCCAAACTGTCATCATTCCTGATTCTTCTGGACTTCTCTGAAGCCTTTGACACAGTTCATCATAAGAACCATCTCTTTGTGAATTTTACTACTAAATCTTGCACTTATTGAAGTGCCTTGTATTTCACTTATGAAATGTTTTATTTCTGTATCGTGTATCTTTCTATGTATCAGCTCTGGTTCTTTTTTTTGGTGGTGTCTTAGCTGAAGGATGTGTTTGGACTCCTGTTCGTACTATCTTAGATTCATTCTCTGAGTGGACAACAAAGCACTTCTGTAAGTCATGAATAAATACATTAATAACAAACAATAATGCAGAATGATGGTTAGAAGGATCAGCTTCTTTACATTAACCATGTTTGTCTCATGAAGCAGGATTTCTTGCGTAGCCAACAAAATCTTAGTTTAATTCTATCTAAACCTGGATTTTCTTCACTTTTTATGGGGCTACATCATCATCGCAACTTACGCAGCATGGCTAACCTGCTCCAGGGCCGGTTAAGTAAGGATTTTGTATCATAAACAGCTCAGGGAATAATCAATGTAATAATAGTTACACACAATATTTTCTTTTTCCTTTGCTGAAAAATAAGACACTTGACCCCTACACGTAAATGTCACCATGACTGCCAGAACAAGAGGCGAAGAACTTTTCAAACTACTGGGGTGATTCCCACCACTTTTGATTGACTTTAGGTCACTTATTTGGTTAAAAAAAGACAAAAATAAAACCACCCTAACCACATGGACCACCTGTAGACACCAACATATAGACTGTCAACCTCAATGGCAGAACCAATTAAAATTTCTTTTCCGGCTTAGGTTGAGGTGTCGGGGTTTGCCTAAGTAACGAGAGGACTGCTGCAGCTCACCCACCCAGAGAATGTTTTTAGTGCAAGTTGGCCATATGGTTTGTTAATCCTCTATTAAATGTAATAATTGTCTAGAATTTGATGGTCTTCAGAGATATGAGCAGTGAAGTGTGCTGGGTTAAAACACCATTTAATGAAAACGTTTATCCGGACATGTTATCATCAGTGGCCTAGTTGTTAGTCAGTCAGCTGCTGCTGTTTCACTAGCTTGCTTTTTAAGTTAATTGTGGTTCCTTTTGTTAGGATGTGTGAAGCTCCAACGTTGCTGGGACTTTGTGTGAAGTGCGATGATATCGAACAGCTGAGAAAGCATTCAAGTTTAAATATAGCGTATGGTGAACACGCTAGTGGTCATGTCTCAGAGGGTGGAAAAAACTAGTACGCACACACCAAGGCTGCTGATAAATGCCCCAGATATCCAGTAACTGTATTAAAAGGTGGGTACTGGCTTGGTTTGTAGCTTAACAATAAAAAAAAAAATATTGGCTTCCTGTTTATTGCAGCTTAACCCTCAACCAACTTAAATGTGTAGCGGTATTGTGTGGATCACCCTAACCGACAGCTAATTACAATGGTACCATATTAATATAAAACAACAAATAATAAGAATATTGATACCAATAGACAACAATATGAAATTCAATAGCTTAGTAGAGAAAAGTAGACCCTGAATGTATTTATATGAAAAACCAAACTTCCTCTGCTGTGCTGAATGCTTAAAATATGTTATACTATTGCTAAACTAGGCCTTTCAAAACAGCTAAGCCAGCTGTGAAAAAAAACTGCACGCCTAAGCATGTGTGGGGTGCACTGTGACCAAAAGGCAAGTTTCTGCACTCACTGTCAATTTTATCAGCTCCACTGACCATATAGTTTCACTTTGTAGTTCTACAGTTACAGATTGTAGTCCAGCTGTTTCTCTGCATACTTTGTTACCCTGTTCTTCAGTGGTCAGGACCCCCACAGAGCAGGTATTATCTGGGTGGTGGGTCATTCTCAGCACTGCAGTGACACTGTGTGTTAGTGTGTGTTGTGCTGGTACGAGTGGATCAGACACAGCAGAAACAGATGGACTACAGTCTGTAACTGTAGAACTACTAAGTCAAACTATGTGGTCAGTGGAGCTGATAAAATGGACAGTGAGAGTAGAAACAAGGAGGAGGTTTTAATGGAGTGGCTGACAGAAGAACTGTTAGATCCACTTTTCACCAGCTCCCCTATCCGTTTACTATACCGTCCAGCTGTGTACCTGTTGCTCTGAATTATCACACTCTGGAGCCACATGGCGGACAGCTAAACCCAGCCAGCTAGGGGAATGGAAAGTCCCCAGCTTCGAGTGAGAGCTGCTCGCTGGGGTGTGTCTCAAGTTCAAAAAGGACTGACGTATTAACAGACTTATCAAGCACAATATTACCGAAGTTCTCGAGTAAAGAAACGTTTAGAGAGCTTACGCTACGTTTGGCTTTCTCTCGAACGCTGCTGCTGCGTTTTTTTCTAACTCTTCTCCACCCGTTTTCGTTAGTCATGGAGTCGAATCCGAAAGAATCGATTCTTCGGCTCCAAGGCGTCTGAGAGTTGGGTTCGAATCTTGGCCAATGACTCGGAGAGTCGACCTGCTCGGAGTCGACTCCGTGTTTTTAACAGACTCGAGGGGCGTTTTGACGGAGGTGTGCGAAGCAGGAGGGAGTCTGAGTTTGAGCCGTGTGAGTTTCTGTGATTAGCAGGCTGTAAACAGTGCTAAACTCTGCCCACAGAAACTCGACATAACTGCATTTTTTCGCTATAAACCGTGATTAGAAACAGCGAAAGGACCGAAAACCCCCCAAAAAAACAAACGCTATTTTTTCACAGAGCGCTGTGGAAAAGAGGACGAGGCCGAAGTTCGCTGCTAATTTGCCCGCTACTTTTTCAAACTTTCCGTTCCACCTTAAATGGCGCTGCAGTTACACTCCGGCGCTCCAGCCAGTTAAACGCGGCCTCATTTAAGGAGGAACGGAGAAGTTGACCGATAAGCCAACTTCAGCCTCGTGAAAAGAGGAACGAGATAACATCCAACTGCTGAAAATTAAAACTCGGTTCCTTTTTCAAAGAATTGAAAGAGAATTTTAAAAAATGATGACTCCACGCTTTAAATAGAGGATTCCTTAGGAAAGGCACTGGTTTATTTAGAACCATTAGTTCATACTCGAATGGTTCTTTGCATGGTGAAATGCTTCTTCAGACTGATGGAGAAAGTGTTGAATTCGGTTCTATAGCACCTTTTTGAAAATGGTTCTATATAGTACCAACAGGGTCCTTCTGTTATTACGATGTCAAGCTTGTAACAACAGAAGAACCCTTTTTGGTGCTATATAGAACCATTTACAACACATTCTCAATGCTTAATTGGTCTGAAGAACCATTTCACCACGCAAGGAACCATTTAAGCATAAAATGGTTCCATTTACAACTCACGGTTCCAAATAGAACCATTGCCTTTACTAAAGAACCTTTGGAGAACCGTCTTTTTAAAAGTGTGCCGTAATGATGTTCTCATGTTTGCCCTCTCCCAGCATTAGTCAGCTGTAATCATTTTTCAAGCCACACACTTAAAAATGATGGTTCTTCAAGGGTTCTTTAGCAAAGAAAAAGGTTCTATATAGAACCGTGAACACTCAAAGAACTCTGTGCATGATTAAAGGGTTCTTTGCATCATGAAAGTGTTCTTCAGATTAATGGAGAATGAGCTGTAGATGGTCCTATATGGAACATTTTTGAAAAGGGTTCTATATAGCACCAAAAAGGGTTCTTCAATTGTAACAAGCCTGACATCGTAACAATAGAAGGACACTTTTTAGTGCTATGTAGAACCCTTTTCAAAAAGGTTCTATACAGAACCATCTACAGCACATTCTCCATCAGTCTGAAGAACACTTTTACGATGCAAAGAACGAACTCTTTAATCGTGGAGAGGGTTCTTTAAAGCACGTGTGTCAGGCTCCAGTCCTCGCGGGCCAAAACACTGCAGACTTCAGGATGCTGCCTCATTAAACACACCTGATTCAGCTCATCAGCTAATCAGCAAGGCCTTCATAAACTGAGTGAAGAGCGCTAACTGAGGGTAAACGCTGATATCCGCAGCACTTCGGCCTGGAAGGTCCCCAGTTTGACATGCCTGCTTTCAATGTTCATGGCTCTGTATAGAACCATTTTCTTTACTAAAGAACCCGTGAAGAACCAGCGTTTTTAAGGGTGTAGCTGATATTACTTGGTGTAATTACAAATTTTCATCACATCACTGTAATGTGCAGCTACTCTGAAACTGGGTAAAGCTTGGTTAAAACTGAGCGGAGTCGAGGAGTCGACTTCACTCGATTCCAGCAGCAGGAGTTCAGAGTCGGAGTCGACTCCAGAAAACTCTTGTGCACCACTAGTTTTCCCATTTTTTTCTTTTCCTCCATAAAGATTCTCTTGGATGAGCTGAGGATCCCTGATTGGCTGCTGTTACTGGACCAATAGGACTGCAGTAAGGAGTCTACTTTTTTCTTAACTACACTCTTAAACGTGATGGTTCTTCAAGGGTTCTTTAGTAAAGAAAACTGTTCTATATAGATCCGTGAACACTCAAAGAACCCTTTGCATGATTAAAGGGTTCTTTGCATAATGAAAGAGTTCTTCAGAACGTGCTGTATATGGTTCTAGCTAACACCCAAAAGGGTTCTTCTATTTTTACGGTGTCAAGCTTGTAACCGTAGAAGAACGCTTTTCAAAAAGGTTCTATACAGAACCGTCTATAGCACATTCATATAGAGGGGTTCTTTGCATTGTGAAAGGGTTCTTCAGATTGATGGAAAATGGGCATGAATGTGCTATAGATGGTTCTATATAGAACCTTTCTGAACAGGGTTCTTCTATGGTTGACACTGTAACAATCGAAGAATACTTTTGGGTGCTATATAGAACCGTCTACAGCACGTTCTCCATCAGTCTGAAGAACACTTTCATGATGCAAAGAACCCTTTAATCAAGCAAAAGGATCTTTGAGTGTTCATGATTCTATATAGAACCGTTTACTGAAGAACACTTGAAGAACCATTGTTTTTAAGAGCTTTTTATTTTTTCAGTTTTCCTTTTTAAACTAGTGACCTGGTTTGACACACAACTTGCATAAATAACTGCCTTTTTTGAACTGTAACAGCTCCCTTTCCTTGTTTCGTCTATAGTTCTCTTTTCTAGTTGTTTATTTGCTTATTTTGACCAGGCTACAAAAAGAACGGAGAATTTAACTGACTCAGAAACTTGGCTTCCTCTTTCTGACACACTTGAGGGTGGAGTCGGGCACTCGGGGCCATTTGACTGTCTTTTCTGTGCCATCGAACCTCATTACATTTCCTGTGCATGTTTCCAGAAAACAAAGAGCGTAACACGGTCTGGCAGCCGTGGTGCTCTTTTGGCGTCATTTACATCAAGTGAAATGAATTTTTGGCTTTGGTTTCAAAACATTTCCACGATTTTTAAACACCCTCAAACTTTTAAATGACATTTTTTGGCCTTGACGGCTTCTCAGATGATACGCAGCATGGAAGACAAAGACGTCGCTGTTGGGTGTCCATGTGCTTAAACCTTTTCTGGGTTCAAGAACCGAAATAGTATTTTTTAAGTAGGTTGTTGGCTGTATTCTATCATTACTATCAAAGTTGCCAAAGACCTTTTTAAATCTTGAAAAGTATGTTCGTGCGACCTTTTGGGGTCAAATAACAAATATTACTCTTTAATTGGATTATTAACATTCACTCTTCCATTACAAACAAAGATGTGAATATTTTTGCATAATTCAAAGGTTAAGATGTAAACAGAGTCATTCAGAGTGGTTTGGTGTGAAACGCTTGGTTCTAGAGAAACTTAGTCAGAATCGCTCACAGAGGTGGTGATAGGAACCAGACGTCCACATCTAAAAGCTCCCTCACAGGAAATTATTACACAAAATGGTTATTCATATGCTGCCTGATGCCTGAGACATTATTTTACAGTAGTTTTGAGAAGATTTTGGCCTAAAACATATATTTTTACACAATTATGGTGGACGGACACATGCAGGGCATTGTGAGGCAAAACAGTCCCCAAAGAAAACGTATTCCTTCAGATTTATCACTACTTTACCATCATCAATATTCATATAAAACTCAGGAGACGACTGTAGGTTCACTGGTGGTTTTGGATAGTAAATAAAATGTCTATATTTGTGTTGTAGTCATGGTGACCCCTGGTTCTACCAGCACCACTGTAAAGAAATCTGAGTAAGTTTCTCTACAACAGTTACCTCTGAATAACTTTTATATCTCAAGCACTGAATAATGTAGAACTTTTTAAAGGTTTTGGTAGAATTTCTCGCTAAACTTCCAACACTATTATTATTCACAGAAACACCTATTTTAAAAATTAAATTAAACTAAAAAAACCTCAAAAGACTTCTCTCACCGTGTGGATCAAGACAGAGACTCCAAACAAGCGACAGGCCTTGGACCGGTCCGGCCAGAGTCGGGCACAAAGATAAACTGAAAGGAGACGCGAGCGCAGCTTTGATCTCCCACTCTTCACACTATCGTCTGTGAGAACGCAACGCTTGACTTCACTTCCTCCATCTGAAGCCCTCTTTGAGCCACATCCCCTTAACCAGTCTCAGCTGATACGACATGAATACAAAACTGGCCTCAGATCAGTTTCAAAACAACAGCTTCTACAGAACCTCTTCAGCAACACATATGACGCAGCCTAACAAAGAAAGACTAAAAAAAAGACCGGTGACACACAGACAGACGCACTATGGAAAAAGAAAAATGAGCCGTTGAGTCATGATTCATGCTCTATACTACCTCCACACCAGGATGCAATTTAAATGCAACAGGATCGCTAACTTTAGCTTCTGCTTTAATAAGAAAAAGCAGAAATGAGGCTGTTGAGTTGGCTGTTCCCGCTGCTGCAGTGCATAGCGAGAGAAACCGCAGCACAGCAGCAGTGAAGTTAAATTCAGAAGGGTTTTTTTATGTGCATGCAGGTGGGTGGGCGCTAACTGCGGCCTAACTAAAAGATGCGAAACTGTCGTTGTGTTTTGTTTGTATGAAGACAACTGAATCTTACACCAACAAGCAGGCCTACTTCGCTGGACATTAAAGCTAGGCTGGGATTTCAGTGAATTTTAAAGACAGCTGCCTTGTTAATAGTCTTCTAGTTAAACAGCACACGGAAGGAACATATTTGTAGTTTTTCATACCTTTTTTAAAAAAGGTCATTGGAGTCAATGCAATTAAAAACATATCTGCATTTGCAAACAGTTTGTAAGAGTCGAAATGTATTATTTGGAGTGATGAAGCTCCATCGAACATCTTTAGGATGAGTTGGAGTGATGAACCTCCAATGAGCACCTTTGGGTTGTGTTGTAGTGATGAAGCTCCATTGAACACATTTGGGATCAGTTGGAGTGATGAAGCTCCATTGAACACCAGTAGGCTGAGTTGGAGTGATGAAGCTCCACTGAGCACCTCTGGGCTGAGTTGGAGTGATGAAGCTCCGCTGAGCACCTTTGGGATGAGTTGGAGTGATAAAGCTCCACTGAGCACCTTTGGGATGAGTTGGAATGATGAAGCTCCACTGAACACCTCTGGGCTGAGTTGGAGTGATGAAGCTCCACTGAGCACCTTTGGGATGAGTTGGAGTGATGAAGCTCCACTGAGCACCTTTGGGTTGAGTTGTAGTGATAAAGCTCCATTGAACACATTTGGGTTGAGTTGGAGTGATGAAGCTCCATTGAACACCTTTGGGTTGAACTGGAATAGTGGAACACCATTAAACACCTTTGGGATAAGTTGGAACGATGAAGCTCCATTGAACACCTTTGGGATGAGCTGGAGTGGTGTTTATGATCAAGAACTAATCATCAATCAATCAATACTCTATATGAATGAAAAAGTATCTGGGTATGTTTATACTGTTTCTCAATAAGTGCTATTCAGTTCAGTTTATTTTCTGTATTTTAGAACAGGAGGTCCTCATTGTTGAAGAATGTCTTCAAATGATTACCGCTGTCTGTTGGTTACAGTCCTTCAAGATTATTTTTGGTAACTTGTTTTGAGGTTATGAAAGTATTAGTTATCTGAACCATATACAACATGTACAAGTTTCCCTTTATAATACTTTCCGTAACTGAGTGAGGGTTATTTTTAATAATATCATGGGTCAGTTCCGAACATGCAGAAAGTGAGAAAATGAGAAGCGAAACAAACAAAGCCACATCAACATTAATGCTACACAGGTTAACATCTCTTCAAAGCTGTTCTATAAACCTTAAAATAGACGATTTAACACTGACAGCATTTGATTTGGCTCCAGTCTTCAAGCATTTAACGTTGTACAGACATTAGTGGAAGATACTGCCAAATGCCAGCAAAGCAAATATCAGAGGAACAAGCGAATACGCTCTTAAAAGTAAAGGTTCCTAAACGGTTCATGGCTTGGATGAACACTTCTAGGAAAGACCTTCACTTGTTACAGAAATAATGTATTTTGCAGAGGTTCTTTAAACATTAACAAGGTTCTTCATGCTCATACATCTCATTCACAAAATCTTTCTTTTGAGGACCACCCACTGGAGTCTCTATATTAACAAGTCAGTGATGCAAAGCACTGCTCTTATGAAGAACCAAAATTTGAACGCTTGTGGTGCCCCCTTGTGGAGAATTTTCCACCTGCTAAATGTGAATGAGCGAGTGAGTTGGTTAGTTAGTTACTGTTAGTTACAGTACAGTGAGGTGCCTTGTCTCATGTCTAATATAAATCCCAGTTTTCTTCTTTCGTGGGGAATGCTTGCTTAACAACACATCATGGTTATATTCAGCTGAGGGAACATGGGGCAGGAGGGAGTTGAGGAAGACATTAACAAGTAAATAAGGACTTTATTTCCCCTTTTTTTGTTGGAAATTCGAGCAAGAAATAAACAGAAAAAAAACATGAAAGAGTAGTCCAGGTCATTTCAGCTTTTAGTCTGTTGTGAAACTTCATCAGAAACCCAGCTTTCTTTCTGTTCTCCTGCAACATCCTATAGAAGAAAAGGGTAAATAAAGATAAGGAGGGAACAAGGAAAGTGTGCGGGACGAGCCAAAAGCCTGGCCACATCCGCACCTTCCCAATTCTGTCACAAACTTGCCCACTGCAGTGGGAAAAAGTGGTTAATGGTCAGATAATAGAACAGATGTCTGCACAACATTTTTGCAGAGGGAACAACCTCAACCTTACATCAATTTGCTATTCTTCTGACATCACCCCAAAGAAACAACATTGTTGGCTCTATATATTAACAATGACACAAAAATGCAAAGCACTGTTCTTATGAAGCACCAAAATTTGATTGCTTTTGGCACCCCCTGGTGGAGAATTTTCCTCCTGTTAAATGTGAGTGAGTCTGTTGGTTAGTTACAAGCCAGTTTCATGGGGTGCTTGGCCTGTAACATCTAATATAACTAAACAGTTTTCTTATTGGGCTTTGGGAGACTGACCAGTAATCTCGCAAGTCAGACCTCATACTATCATCAGAAAGCCTGATAGGTTTCGTCACTCAACATAGCAAATAAAAACCTGCTTTAAAGAAGCATCCTCTGAAAGGGAACCAAAAATGGTTCTTCTGTGAACAGCCCCAAAGAACACTGGAGTCTATTTCTTAACAAGGACGCCAAGCGTCATTCATGCAAAGTACTATGCATATGGCGCTCCATTTGATGGAGGAGGCTGTCTGACTAATATGCAAACTGACCCTATCACAGATCACTTTTTTTTGTCACATGTAAGGGAAATTCTCAAAATAAAAATACACCTTTGGGAAATGCAGATGTGTACCCAGCAAATGTGTAAGGATGTCCTGCTTAGCAGCTTCTAAATGCTTCCAAGAAAACTCTTTAAAAAGTTTTAAAGATAGGATAGCAAGAATTTCAAAAACACCTTGCTCCGAAAGGCCTTGTGAAACAACCCATGCTTTGACGTCATGTTCTTGTTCTCACTGTTTTTAATAAGACTCAGACGCTTTTCAGTTTATGAAAAAAAAAAATCTTTTATTTTGATGTATTTGACACGACAGATGAGACTTTACAACAGTGGTTTCAAAGACTAGACTTTGGCCAAATAAATTTAGCTTTTAATGTTTCTCATTTTGATCCATCGGCTTCCAAAAGCACTGATTTGACGCTAACGCCAAGTTATAAAATCTGCTCTTGTATTTACAACGTACTTAAAATCAACAGAATTCAAGTAAACAGTTGGTAAAAGAACATGTCCACACATTGAGAATTAACCAGGTGCTATTAGGACACAGTGTCCTATTTCAACGTCTGAGAAGGATTGAATGCTACTGATACAGACCTAGACCCGACTACAGTATTTGGCTTTTAAGGCTTTTAAACAGCTTGACTCGGTAGGGTAGCATTTGATCCGTCTCCAACTAACGAAGACGCACCACTGAATTAAACTTTCTATGACTATTCAGGATGCCATCAAACCTTCCATCTCTTATTAGTAATCCAAAGAGCTTGAGCTCCAGTGTAAAGAAAAAAAAATAGCAACCACCTGCAGTCACAGTGACGGCTACAATGAAAACTCTTCAGACTTGTAGTTTTAGATCAAGCAAATAAGCATATGCCATATGCAGTCACTAGTTCTTTCAAAGAATAATCCAGCATTTTTCAAGCTAATGTCTGTCCTCTGAATCTGTACACTATTAACCTGTTGACTCCATTATAATTGAAGCCAATGGGCAGTTGCTTCATTCAATCAGTAAACTTTTATGCCAAACTTGTGAGTTCTTTAGTCAAATTAATTTGTAAATTAAGCTGTCAATCTGAATTTGTTCTTTAAGAGATGGGGCTAGGTTTCCAGGGGGAAGAATTTGTGGTTGCTGCTTGATCGCTATGGATACAAAAGACCTTAGTGAAAGTGAAAGTAACCAGAACTACTTTTTGGTTGCTCTAGTGTTAGAAAGTTGGATAAAATAAAATCAGCTTTGGTAAGACATTCTCTCTTATCTCCTCCTAAATCATGTATTGTTAAAAGTTTACAGTTGTAATTTTAAATTTGCATGATGAAATGTTTATTCAGAGAATTGAGCCACTGCCTATTGGCTTCCATTAAAGTAATTTTGGTGTAAATTATCGATCCTAGTAACCGAGACACAGCAGATAGAAATTAGGTTGAAAAGCGTTGAAATATTCCTTTAATACTTGCAGCAGAACCTCTTCCACTAATCATGAAAAAGAGCAAAACTGTTTCACTTCATGCGATTTGTGCAAGCAGAGCATTGAAATAAGGCCCCGTAGTTTTGTTTCTGCATCATGCTGGATGAATTTGTTCTCACTGCGCCACACAATGTCCTACCAAAGGCCCCTATAACCCAGCAAACCCCGCCCACCCCACCCAACTAATCAAAACGCACCTATTCACAGCATTGATATAAAACGTTCAAATCATATGATGACCATGCACTGGTAAGTCATCACTGCATCACATTTCCAGCACAAAATCTGATCTAGTGCTTTCCTGCGATTGGCTGATTTTAAGCAGTTAATCACGTAAACAAAAAAAGACAAACAGACGTCTAACAGGATTGGTTCAAGCATAAGCACAATTACCCAGAATTCAGTGCACTTATTTTCTTGAAAACAAAACATATTAAAACAAACAAACAAACAAAAAGGGTAACAACATTCATAAAGTTTCACGACATCTACATAAACGCTTTTCCCAACAATTACATCCCAATAAATGTTGGAAAAAGCCTTAATTGTCTATAGAGGTTTAGGCAAGTTGACAAGAGAGATGTAGCCTTATGAACGCAAAACTGTTACCAAACCATTGTATTGCTATTTTTTTTTCAATGTTCGAGAGGGTATCAACACTTAAAAGGCAAGAAGATAAAGTTTAGTACTTGGTATCAAAACATGAACTCCAGCTAAACCAGGCTAAGACAGAGCTAACGTTCAATAGCGAGCAAGCGGTGTTGTTCACAAGTCCCATAACACCAGCATCCAGCAGGTCAAACACACTGAATATGAGGATCAATTCTGGAAGAGCAGCAATATCTGTTGAAATCCTTTCATGTTGTGTAAATGTATGGAAAAATTACATATTCTATCAGAACAGCACTTAAAGGGGAACTTGACTGATTTCTGCATGAAATGTAAAAGTCATTCAGAGTGGTTTGGTGTGAGATGCTTCGTTCTAGAGACACTTACCATGTCAGAGTTGTTCACAGTGGTGCTGATAGGAACCAGACATCCACCTCTAAAAGCTCCCTCACAGCAAGTTATTACATGAAATGGTTAGAAATACACTGCCTGATGTCTGAGACACTGTTGATAATTTTGACTATGGATGTGCAGAAATGTCAGCCATTTAAAAATGTTCTGCCCAAAATGGTCAAAAATTGGCCAAAAGAGACCGATTTTTTACCAAGAAAAGTTAAATAGGCCTCCAACAACTTGCTAAAATCATAGGTTTTCAGCGGTAGTTGAATTTAAATGGCAATGAAAATGCGAATTAGCGATTTGGGCCTTAACCTCAGTTGATGTCATCTCACAGGAGCTCTCAACATTTCGTTTACAGAGGGCCAAGGCTAGAACAGAGGACGGGGGGGATTACTGCCTTTCACTTAACTCCTACTGAACTTCTGTTGGATATACATTTACATTTACTTTTGTTCTTCCAGCATTATTACTCTATTTTATTTAACCCACACTGAAGTCAACCAGGGTGTTTTTTTATCCTGTGCCGCTCAATACAAATGCATTCAAACTGTTCGAGCTGTAGCAGATCAACAGTGAAAATGGTAACTGTGTCTAACTACTTCAGCAGTTCTCTGTTTATGTAAACTGTTATTTATTTCCAGCTTTTTCAGTTTCTGTGTTCAGCCAAGAATTCATTTTAATGCATCACTAGTAAAATGTAGTTTTAAAAAATCCATTAATGGCGGAAATGTACCAGCAGGGCATTGTGAAAGACAATAGTCCCCAAAGAAAACATATTTTACCATCATCAATGTTACATATATAAACTCAGAAGACGTGTGTAGGTTGACTGGTGGTTTTGGATAGTAAATAAAATGTCTGTATTTGTGTTGTAGACATGGTGACCCCTGGTTCCTATCACCACCACTGTAAAGACATCTGAGTCTCTACAATCCACCATTTCACACCAAACCACTCTGAATGCAAGTTTACATATCAGCCACTGATTTATGCAAAAATCTCGAAAAATCAGTTGAATTCTGCTTTAAAAAAAAAACAAAACTGCATTTATTTCACCTCGTCTCCAAAACTACGCAAACGCGTTTCGTGTTTCAGGGTGATTGGGCAAGTGCAAAACTCGTGAAAACTGAACAGGGAGAGACAGTCACCTGTCTTTCTCTCGCACACACAAATATTCTCTCGTCTTCATACAGTAATGTGCTATAAACATTAGTAACTGAAAGGGAGGAGAACGGCTGGTTTCTCTCAGTAGAGGTCAGATATGGCTCTTTGTCTAGTTTGGGCTTCAGAGGTAATGTCAGTTTGTCGCAGCAGCGAGGAGAGACTTCAGAATGGGCTCAGTCTTTAAACCACTCACACTCATATTGAACCCTCTCATTCTCTCTCGCTCAGTAGAAGCGTTTGCGGCTGCGGTCCTTCCAGCGCTGGTAGATGATGAGCGCCACCACGATGAGCAGGACGAGTCCGACCACGGAGAAAACGAACAGGAAGAAGAGCGTAAGTGTGCTCATACCTTCATCCACCACGTCCACTGGAAGAGACAGAAAGCGCTGAGATTTAAAAGTATGAAATTATTCAAGCAGCTGCTTGCTTTTGTAAAGGTGTGGATCTCTACTTTGAAACGGCAGCCGTCAGCTGGCCCGACGTTTCTGCAGAAACCAAAAATTCTACATCCCATAATAGATCTACCCAGGCTCCGACCACAAATGTGTTAGCTCAGATCTAATTTTGTGAGGCTGAAACATTACAGAATGCCAGTAAAGTCCCACTCAACCTACAGAATCTGTAGAGCATAACAAACGAGCTAAATTTAGAGTGATATTCATTTCAGATGAGTTTCATGTTATTTGTGTGTGAAAGGTCACACCGTTACAGCAGATTAGGTACACTTTTTTGTTGCACTGTCAGGTTTTTAGGGGTGAACATCTAATTTGATAGGCCGATTCAGCTGTTTTGTTATTGCTAGCATCATAGCCTACACCACTGTAACATGGGTTAAGATACTCTACAGCAGTGGATCCCAACATGGTCTTCAGGGCCCCTAAAAAGATCCACGTTTTTGCTCCTACCTGACCTGGAGGGCCCCTGAGAACTGGGTTCAGTGCCACTGATCTAAAGCTTCTGAATCCACTTTACAATCTGGGATTTTATAATCGCTGCTAGCTAACTGACCTACTGATTTTTGTCCAACTAGTGTCAGACCTACTAGCAAGCACAAAATCCAAGACCAGAAACGGGCATTGAGGATTCTGTAAAGCTGGGGCTGAAAGATTAATCGTTTTTATGTTGAAATCGCAATTATTGAGAGCGCCATTTTCAAATCGAGAGCTGTAATTTTTTAATTATAGCCTGCATTATCAAAAATGCTGTCTTAAGTTTTAAGTGGGGAAATTTAACTCAGTAAAACAGAGCTTGTGATCTGCCTGTAGATTAGTTAGACCAATTAGAGGCAGCCAAACCTCAATGTGTTGTGACATCACATCCTCAACTTACTGACCGCCTGGCACACTACATTCAGGGCTCAAGCCTCAAACAAGAAAAGGCTGATATTCTGGTCTTCTTGGCCAAAAAGGCCTGGGCCGTATTACAGAAAAAAGTCTGAGATCATATCCTATCTGCTTTGTTGTCATGGTAACTTTAGTTAGGACTGAAGTTAGGACAGAAGACATTACAACAGTTCTTAAGTCTATAATCTGATCTTATTTCCAGATAAGAAAACGGTTTACAGAAACATCTTAAATATTTGCTTAAGTTTAAGATAAACCCCACAGCGTCTTAACTTCTTATATTACAGTGATGGTGGTGAATAACGGGGAGACAGAGCTGAACCTTTGTCTGTTTATCAGGAGGAATAATGTTAGCGCGCTCAGCTGAAGCGTTTGGGAAATGAAACTGAAAGTGGAGCGGCGACGCTCTGATAAACGGCACGAAGTGCAGACACAATATTATTAACTCAGTTTATCACGCTGGAGTTTTATTTGACTTTCTTTACACCAATAACAGTAGCTAACGTTAGCTGTCTGACTAACTAACTTAATTACGTGTTTACGTTTCAGCTGTGCATGACGTATGGTCGGTTGCTAGGTAACAGACACGACAGTTGATTGTTGACTTCAATCGAGTAAGTTAAGATTTCCTAACCTGAGATAAGAAAAGATGCTGTAAGATAAGATTCTGAAATTAAGATAAGATTTGCGTCTGTAATACGAATTTGTGAAATTCGTATTACAGACGCAAAACAAAAAGACAAGAAATTTCTGTAATACGGCCCCTGGACTAATTTCTAGAAAAAAGTCGTAATTTAAATCGCAGTCGCAATATTTGTCAGAAACATTGCAATTAGATATTTTCCCCAAATCGTTCAGCCCTACGTAAAGTAGTGATCACCTAGTCTTCTTCTTACCTAACCTGAGTTAAGTTAGTGCCGTTAAACACTGTAAAAGCATCTGACCCTTTTTCACCATCATCTCACTCTAATAACGAACAGCTGAGAGCTGCTCAGAGCTAATTATCTTCGCAATTAAGGCTTGTTCGGCTGGTTATTTTGTTTGTTCATGATGACGTAGTTCATTCTCGTGATGTTATTGATTAGGATGTGTGCATGTGGCTCATCTGAGGACCCAGGTTCATTCACATTAATAACAGGTTTGAGTCACTTACCTACATGAAAGCGAAATATCAAGATAGAAAGTTTGGATCTGAGCAAAAAAATCGTACTTGAGCAATGAGACTTGTAATGTTAACGCAGCCCTAGTGTTTGGTTAGGCACTGCTGCTATGTAAATGCTGAATGATGGTGCATGTGCAGTGAAAAAACTCTGGCTGTTCTCATTAAGGTAGCATGGCCACGAATCAGATATCTATCTGATCTAGGACCACATATGGAAGTGGGTCAGATCTGTGTCACATTAGATCAAAAAATCCGGTTTGTTCCACCTCAGCTAATGTGAACGCAGCCAAATGCATCTGATTCAGCCGATCAAGAACTTCTGAAGAAGTTAATTAGCTGGAGCAGATGTGGCAGATTGAGGCTGAAACCAGACTCTGAGGGGCGACAACAAAAATGCAGACTCCTGGGGGGTCCCAAAAGCCAGCCCTGGGACCCTAAAGCGGTATCATTACCAGGGACGTCTCTATAGTCCACGCTAGGTATCAGAACCTCCTCCTCGTTCTCCAGCTCCTCAGGACTCCTCTCGACTGTCAGTTCAAACAGCTTGAAGGAGATCAGGTCATGATTGTCTACAAAACATAACGTCTTATTATGAACATTTATAATGTATTATAACAGAAATATTATAAATAATTATAAATAATATAAGAAATTTTATAATGTCTTATAATAGAAATACTGTGGATATGAGAGCATGAAAACAAAGTGGCCACATATTAAAGGGCCCAGATCACAGAAAACTGTCTCTAACTTTGTGAAACAAAAGGTTTTGTTGTGATTGAAAGTTTTTACAATGTCCAAGTTCACTTGGACCAGTCCAAATATGGAAACTGAGATCAAAAACAGCATTTTGGTGATGTCACAAAAAGCGGCATATTTGAATAATACACATTTAAGTTGGAAAATGGTCATGTAGAAATGAAGTATGGCTATTTTTGGTACATAAAGGCACACAAGTGGCAAACAATGGAGAAAAAAAAAAACACATGAATAAATATAAGACATGAGCCCTTTAAGAGAGCAAACTTAAGACAAAGACAAACTCAACAGAAGATGATTCATTCAAACCTGACAGGTCTCCAGTAACTGATGAGGCTCCAAAGTAGTATCCCTGAGGCATGTGGACACCAGGGACTTCCAAACACTCTTTCCACTCCTGCTTGCCTTCTATGTCCATCATGATCTGGGGAAAGACATCAGCAGTGAAGCAGAGAGTCCACCGGGTCCCTTTACACTGACTGCGGACCAGCTTTACTTACATTAAAGGGGAACTCTACTGATTTTTCAGCATTTCTGAATATTTAAATGGTTTAGATGTAAACAGTCATTCAGAGTGGTTTGGTGTGAAACGCACTGTTCTAGAGAGACTTACAGTCAGAACTGTTCACAGTGGTGGTGATAGGAACCAGACGTCCACCTCTAAAAGCTCCCTCACAGAAAGTTACTACATGAAATGGTAAGGAATTCACTGCCTGAGACCCTGTTTTATGGTACTTCTGATAAAGTTTTTGACTAAAAATAAAAATGTAATCTGCTTGTGGTGGAGAGGTACATGCAAAGCATTGTAAGGCAAAATAATACATTTATAAATTACAGAAAACGTTTTCAGATTTTCCACTATATTACCATCAACACTCCATATAAAAACTCATGAGGCCTGGTTCCCATCACCACCGCTGTAAAAAAACCTTCAGTCACTAAGTTCCACTACCATGAACCATTTCGCAACACTCTGAATGACTGTTTACATCTCAACCACGCAGAAATTTTGAAATAATGTTGGAACTGCTCTTTAAGCAGAAACTACAAATGACATCAGGATTCAGTAGTGAGTATTGAGTCTTAGATCATCTGAGAAAATAATCTCAAAATGTATTTATCTGGGCAGTAAACATTTTGTTAAGAAAACATACTAAACATAAATACAAACAGAATAAATACGAATAAACAAATCAACAATACATTGTTTTTTGCGTGAGAGTGTAGCTTAAGCTCTCCTCAAAATATTTACAACCACCATCCAATACCTAGTTTAGTTGGTTATATTATTTTACAGGCAAAAAACACATTTATTGGTGCGACAAATAGTTTAGATACAATTTTTAAGGCCGCTTAAAGGTGAACTCCATCAATTTTTCAAAACTTCTGCATGATTAAATGGTTAAGATGTAAACAGAGTCATTCAGAGTGGTTTGGTGTGAAACGCTCTGTTCTAGAGAAACTTACAGAGTCAGAATTGTTCACAGTGGTGGTGATAGGAACCAGACGTCCACCTCTAAAAGCTCCTTCACAGACAGTCATTACATGAAATGGTTATGAATTCACTGCCTGATGACTGACACACTGTTTTATGTTCTGTGATAAAGTTTTGGTCTAAAATGAATTTTAATCAATTTATTTTAATGCATTCATGGTGAGAGGATACATTTAGGGTGTTCTCAGCTAAAATAGTCCCCAAAAAAAAAACCTTTTTATTCAGGTTGTCCACTATTTTACCTTTATCAACATTATATATATATATAAGCTCAGAAGGCACATGTAGGTTTTGGATAGTAAATAAAAATGCTATATTTGCATTGGACCCCGTTTCCTTACACCACCACTGTGAAGACATTTCACATCAGACCATTCTGAAATGGCTTTGCTTATATCTCAACCCCTGAATTTTGAAAAGAATCTGTGGAAATCCCCTTTAAAACTTTCACAGCTCTATATAAGAGCAATCTGACTCTACCTATGGCTGATAATAGCATAACAGAAACAGTTATGCACTGTTGTGCAATTGATTTGCCTGCACAATATGCAGAGTTCTTTGCATCAGTTTCTGATGTTTTGTAGATATCAGATTTTCGTAACACCCCCACATCATACACACATAAAAATGGTAGTTCTTCAAGGGTTCTTTAGTAAAGAAAATGAACCATGAACATTCAAAGAATCCTTCCCATGATTAAACGGTTCTTTGCGTTGTAAAAGTGTTCTTTTTTGACGGAGTTGTGCTGTGTATGGTTTTATATAGAACCTTTTTGACAAGTGTTCTATATAGCACCATAAAGGGTTCTTCTATTGTTACAATGTCAGGCTTGTTACAATAGAAGAACCCTTTTAATCATGGAAAAGTGTTCTCCGTAAGTTCATGTTTCCAAATACAACCACTTTCTTTACTAAAGCCTTGAAGAACCATCATTTTTAAGTGTGCAGACCGTAATCATGAGCACGTTTTGTATGTTTGTGTGTTCTTACCGTCAGCGTGTTCCTCATATATCTGACCAATAGGAACGTGTCGTAGTCAACGTTGCGGACGGAAGCCGCGCAGCCGCCCAGGTCCACGTTCCTTCCGTCCTGATCGTGGTCGTAGGCCAGCGATCCGTTCCCCACCATCGCTGAGATGTAGGGAAAGACCCTCTGCTCAGAGAGACAGAACACATATGATAAGCTTAACTGGGCCACACTGGTCAAACTCCACCACCAGGAGGGCTGTATCAATAAACTAATCAATAAAATTCATATTAATGCTAATAAATTTCATAATGTTTATTGTAATTAATGTCAGTGACTAGAATCTCAGTGTAAGCCAGGTTGTAAATGCTTTGTACTTCTATACATTTGTACATACGCAACAACTTCATAAACTGCTTGCTGGTATTTTCTATAGACTGAATGTGCACCGTTTACCATCAGTGGTTACGCAGTAACTTTGAATATCAAATTTTTGGGGAACAGCTACTTGCCTGGAGTAATTCAAGCAAATGGGTTTTTCTCTTATTTCCCAGAAGAGATGCTGCTGTCTACTTCACCCCCCTTGGGGGTTTGGCAAAAATAAATCACTCCTTCAAGGCACTTTCAGAAACATATTAATCAGTTTTTCTGAAGTTTGTTCAGTAGGAACAGATAAAAACAGCAGTAGAGCGACATTTAAAATTATTACCAAAACTATAAACATATTTTATTCAGCGTTTCACACACGGCACAAAAAATAAACAGGACTAATTCTGCTCTCTCTATAATGCAGCATGCAGTTAGTTCCTTAAGTACTGACCACCTCCACAACACGCTCAGAAATTTCTATGTAAATTATCAAGATGACTACAGTCATATTTTCCATCTGTGTGTATACTGAGACGGGAAACTGGTGCCAAAAAGACCCTGGATGGTGGATAAATTACTAACTGCATGAAAGCATCAATGAAAACCTGAATAGAACAACCAAATCAGCAACTGTACCAAATCATTTTTGTCCTCCCTCCTAATTCACTCATCAGGCTATGAGCCAAATCAAATCGTCAGGAGGAACATATTGTTGCTGTCCAAAAGTCCCCATTTTTTTTGCAGTATTTAGTTTTCTGCAAAATTGGAGCCCAGTTGTCCCTTAAATTGTGTGAATATTTAATGATGATTGGTCCAGTAGAAATGCTCCACATTTGCTTAGAGTAAAATCTCTTTACATTAACTTTCATTGAGAGGATAGACCATTTTTGCCCTCTTCTGTAAACCTACCATTTTGGAGATTCATGTTTTTCTTTGGACAGCGATGATACACAGAGGTCTACGCAGCAGTCAGTGCTGAATTATAGCTGTCAGAACTCACAGACTTTGCTGCAGCCTCATGGCTGTGAATGTGAACTACAATATGATGGCTAGACCTTCTGCTAATAGGCCAATAGAGGGCAGCCTACCAACCTTGCTTCTGCTCCTTCAGATCTTTCACCTCTATTTAACCCCAATTGATCCATCTAATTACTGCCTTCAGAAGTTGAGATGAGCTGCATGAGGGGTTCATTTGAGTTGGAGGTGAAACATACAGGACATCCAGGAGGAGGACCAGATAAGAAGTGATGCTTTGTTCAGTGATAAGGATAAAGAAGCTCCAGCTCTGTAGATCTAAGATGGTGTCAGGGTGAATGAGAGCCATACCTCGTGGTGCTTGTCTTCATTGGGATATGTGTCAACAAATATGCCCAGACCAGTGAAGAGGTTCCTGTTGCCAAAAACGGGGCCTAAAACAAATCACAGAAATCCCAGAACACCACCACATCAGCTTTCCAGACCTTTCCAATCAAGAAGGATTTAACGAAGAACAGACTCGATGCTACATTTCAGACTGAATAAAGACGTACCTGCTTGCATGCGCTCCTTGGTCAGCCATATGGCCAGACCGTCACCGTTGAGGTTCTTCTTGCCCTGGCCATGGATTTTGAAATGGACCTGGAGCTCCCAGTCTCTAATGTAGCACGGCTGTATGAACAAACAAACACACACACACACACACACACACACACACACACACACACACACACACAGACAAAGAGCAAAAAGTAATCAAGTAATCAATCAACCAAGTAATCAGCAAGTAAATCTCTCTAATTTATCTTTATTTATGTGGGCGGTGACGTGACGTCACACTGTATAGGCGTCATTTCAAGGACCGAATCGGAAGTAACTCCGCTAGCGCGACGTGCTTTGTGAATGATTCACCTGTAAGACGCGACAGAAGCTGAGAATGAGAGACACACAGACCTTTAATTCAGTGTTTTCACTCCAGGCTTGGAGCTCCTGCACTGTATAGTTTAGTGTTTCTCTCTGCTGTTCACGACTGTTTATCTCTCGGCTGTTAACGTTAGCTAAAGCTATCTAAAGGCTAGCATTGTTCACATCTGTGTTAATTAGCTGATGATGTTACCTTCCTATGATGACAGAGAGTTTTTTCTCCTCTTTATGCAACACCATGGGATCCTTTAACCCACCCGGACGTGAAGAGCCGGTGGGCTTCTGTGCTTTTAAATGCTTTGAGAGACTCTCCAGAACAGGGAGAGGGGCTGAGTATGATATAAAGTTCTTACAGCTCAGCTTCCATTTACAGCTGTGTGCAAAAGGTTTGGGCTCATATTTTGTTAGTTTTCTGAGTGGAAATATTAACATGTCCTCTACCAGGAACACATTTTAATACACAATTACTGTTTGCAGAATTTAACATTTGGTAGGGAGGGTTGGAATCAAACATAAAATGTGGGCTGTTCATTTTATGTTTAATGTTTTCCCCTTTTTTAAACATGTTAAAGGAGTAAACAGAAATTGTGCACTAAAACTTGCCATATTTAAGTTCTCTGTAGAGGATGTGACTTATTTTCACTTACAAAAGCAACAAAAAGTAAAATTTTATGTATGACAATGCATTTTGAAAGTTCAACCGCGTTAACAGGCTGCATCAAACTCTTATTTTAAAAAGTGCAGAAAGTTCAGTTTTCCATGATGTATGTTTTATGTTTACCTGAAGACACATAAGTGTGCGCATTAGTCAGTAAACATCCATCACTCGTCCAAGACTTGATTTGAGCTGCTCTTCATATCATGTCTGTTTTATATAGACTGATCAGTCTGACTGTGACTAACTGGTGAAAGTGATTTTTGTTATTGGGGTTTCAAACACACTCACAATGCGACTCCAGACGGCCCCCTGTCTGCTCTGCAGATCTGGGGTCAGCCGCACGTGCTCGGGGGTGATCATGGCGTTTCCCGACAACTCCCAGTGTGAAGAACTGGAGGAGCCCAGACCTGCATACAAAGAAAGGGAGGAGAAACTAGTAAATCAAGAGCTCTGAAAGAGAAGAGCAGAACAGATGGCAGCTTAAAAGAGAGGTGGGCAGAGTTAAGAGGTGGACGATAAGACAATGTTTTATCATTATCTGGACAAACAATATGCTTTTCTGAGTGAACTGTGGATTAAATACTGTATACAATATTTTGCCATATCGGCCACCCCTGAATAGAACGGTCTAAATCCGTTTTACGGCAACAGTCTGGTGAAATAACAACTGCAGCAGAAGTACAACTTGAGTAAAGATGCCAACAAATTAGGTCCAGATGACCTTAGTGCATCCTGTATCTTTCAGCATAGTAACTGGAGTCTGTTTGGCTCTACTCTCCTCCTTTTGGTCTAAAATAAAATGCTAAAGCTGAACAACACAATATAATGACATTACACCCAAAATTAGAATTAAGGACTAAAATGTAACCGAGCAGATATTCTAGTATAAACAGCACCACAGAAGTCTTATATGTTATTAATTTTTTTAAAGGTTCTTAAGTGATCAGAGCCACAGTTAAGTAAATGTTTCTGTAATATTCCTGAACAGAGAACAAATATGGCTTACAAAATTTAGTGCACAATTTCAGTTTATTTACTGAGTTTAAGATATTAGAAAAAATAAAACATTAAATATTGTGCACAGACCACATTTTATATTTTATTTCCAACATGTTAAATTCAGCAAATAAACAGTACGAAATGTTAAATGTGCAGAAATGTGTTCCCTGTAGAGGACGTGTTAACTTCATTTCACTTACTTTCAGAAAATCATAAAAAAATACTAAAAAATTGTATTTATATAAAAAAAAAGCAACACATGTATTAAAGGAGGAACGTAATCTACTTCTTACTCAGTTACATTTTAGTCATAAACATTCAGTTTTTGGTCCTTTCATTCGGTTATGTTGGCCTAGGCTGCTCACACCTTTTGACATTTGAGATTTATCATTTTATTTTAGACCAAACAGATCCAAAGAGAGAAGAACAGAGTCTGACAAACTTCAGTTCCTACGCTGGTAGATCAAGGGTGCCAAAACCTTTTTCTCTCAGGGGGCCGAAGTGCACAGTGGGCCGTTGTGGGCCGAGAGCCAAAAAGACAAAGCGATATACAAATAAAGAAGGCAGGCAGGTTTCTATGTTTCAAATCATGTTTTTAAAATGCATTTTATAACATTATATTATGATACTAGTAGTATTCCATTAGCAAGGCTATATAATGTTATTGAATTACTTCATAAATTAAATTGTAAAGGGAAACTAAGGATTTATTTAGTTATATACAGCATAAAATGTTCTCTCATTGGGTGAGGAAGTTAGTGCAACTTTCCAGTGGGCCAAATGAAACCTAACTGGCCAATTGTGGGCAGCTGTGTAATAGATGATGGATGCATTAAGACGTTCCACTGTGGTTCTTTATGTTACTCAGTACTTAAAGGGGAATTCTATCTATTTTTCAGAATTTCTGCGTAATTCAGTGGTTGAGATGTAAACAGAGTCATTCAGGGTGGTTTGGTGTGAAATGGTTGATTGTTGTGACTCAGATTTCTTTACAGTGGTGGTGATAGGAACCAGGGGTCAAAATGTCTACATAACCATTTCATATAATAATTTTCTGTGATGGAGCTTTTAGAGGTGGACGTCTGGTTCCTATCACCACCACTGTGAACAATTCTGACTCTGTAAGTTTCTCTAGAACAGATCATTTCACACCAAACCACTTTGGATGACTCTGTTAACATCTTAACAGTTTAATTAAGTGAAGATTCTAAAATTTGGGTGGAGTTCCGCTTTCAGCAGTTTTCAGAGCTGACAGTATTGACCTTTTACCACCTTTAAGTTATTTTTCAGAAAGGTACTTTTAGTTCTTTTACTCCGGTCATTATTCCACTGCAGTAGACTAGAAGATGGGTTCTATATTGTTCTAGACACCTCTGTTTTAGCTGAGCAGCTCTAGCTGGTTACTATGCAACTCTCTCTGTTAGGTTAGTTATAACGTAACATATCACTGCCAGTTGCGAAATCACACACACCCTTACACCACCGTAAAAACTCGGCTTAAATCTCAAATCTTTAAAATAATTTCGCTTTACTGAACTCTCTGAACATGTCGAGGTATTTTATAGATACATGAGAAACCGAAGCTTTCTTATTCGCCAACTTCTTATCCGAATTCTCCGTTCCACCTTAAGTGGTGCAGCAGTTACACTCTGGCGCCTGAGTCGCTAGACTCCAACTGCGGCGCCATTTAAGGTGGAACGGCGAGTTCGAGGCGGACCTCTGCCGGCGCTCCCCCACCTTGGTACGGCTTGGTCAGCGAGTACTCCCGCTTCAGGAACTCTTCGGGCTCGTAGGCGTTATTATTCCCGCAGCCCCGCTCGACCAGAGCGAGAACCAGAACTGAAACTAAACACACTCTCACATTGTCCAGAAAAGACCCCGAAACCCCCCAAAACCGTAAAGAAAAACCGGGACAGTTCTTCAACTTCTCCATGGAAGTGGCCATCTTGCGGGTTCCCCTCCTCCCTACTCACCCCGCGCGCCCGCCCGCTCTTCTCATTGGACCGTTTCTATTCAGACGCGCTGCTCATTGGGCAAGAAGACTGTCAATCATAACTGCAGCCTATTACGGTTCTCCACCACGACCTGCGAAAGCTCGTGTGGACCAATCAATGTTGATGTTAAACTGCCAGCTTCTTAGACCATATTCTCCATTTTTACTGTTTTAGTTTTACAGTCGTTATTCTTACATTTTTAATGATAGTTTTAAACCATCTCTTCGTCACTGAGATAAAGGTTTAAACAGACTGTTTTTGTTACTGATATATACGCAAAAACTCTGTTCTGATTGGCTGCCCTGTGTTGGGCCTCACTCAAAAAGCTGTCCTGTTGGAAACACTCCTTATAACTTCAGCAGGAATGGGCGGGGCTAAACTGCTGTAGGCTGAACAGGTGGTAGAAACTTTTATTTTGCAAACATGTACTGCATCATTTTTTCATTTAAATTTACTTTTAAAATTTTAGTGATGGACAACTTTATAGAAAAACACATTTCCTCGCTTCTTTTTTTTAATTAAAACGGTTGCACATTGAACACAAATGGAAAAACATGTGAATATGCAAAATATTTGGACACAATTGAAAAAAAAAAAATGGGACTTTCTTAGTTTCTTAGTTGTTGCCCTGCCAATGCCAGAGACAACAGAGACTGGTAAAGCGATATCTGAAAAAAATCTCTTTTATAGAGATAAATCAGAAGTCCTGATTTTTTGATGTAGTATATAAAAATGATCAACATTAAGACCTGATTTAAATTATCATGCATGCTAATGAGTGCTGATCTTATTGGTTTTGTGGGGTAGAAACTGCACTTTCATACATGTTTAAGAGCAAGTTTTGACATTTTTACTTAGAAAAGCTAAGGTTTGGTTTGGTCCTCAATGAAGGAAAGTTGTGAAAAGGCCTTTGAAAAGAGTTTGATGAGGTGTGTAAACATTATTAACATTTGTGTCAGTCTTTGTGACATCGCAAAAAGGATCATTTAAAATAGGTTGTTTTTGCAGCTTAGATTCCATATATGGACTGAGTAGTAAAACTTGAACAGTGTTTACATAATAATATATAATAATAATAATATTTTATTCTGAAAAAACATCACGGAAATTCACCTTTTCCATTATATGGGTCCATTATATATATATATATTATATTGTAATATTGTAATAATATTATAATATATATATATATATATATATATATATATATATATATATATATATATATATATAATAATTATTGGCTCTTATAACTTCTCTTTTTCTAATACCCTTCTAATGACATTTCCACGCTCCAAAGGCCTTCGTCTGTTTCAGAAAAGCGCCGGACCCTCGTTATACTTGGTGTTAGTGGAACTATTAGGTTTCCTCATTGAGTCTAACTTCTGTAACCGTATACAGTGGCAACCCACGGTGTGCTGGGAGACAGCAGGGCCGCCTGCAGTGCGACACTGTTTTTAATGGGCTCTTTAGGGCTGTAATGATGAGGAACCTGTTCACGCCCAGGCTGTCATGGCTGATTAAGTTGTAGACAGCGATTTCCATCGACTCCAGGTCAAGTTACCACCCCATTCCCACACGCCCTTTCCCTCCCTTGTCTTCTCACTGTAAAAGCTAGCATCAGTTTTTGCCTTTTACACCTGATTTACTTTACCATACATGCTAACATGTTCAATCTGATTAGCATCTAGCAAAAAAATGATTAGCATCCCTGCTGAAAAAAACAGCTTGGACCAACATGACTTATATTCTGGTCTAAGCTGGTTAATACTTCTCTGGTGCTGGCGTAGCCGGTCATCCAGCATGGTGATGTTGGTTGACCAACATCCAAAACTCCATTTTTGCTTATTTTGACTTTTTTGCTAAATTTGCACACTCCAGTTAGCCTTTGCATTGTGTCAAAATTTCATGATGAACAGGCCAACAAAATGTTTTTACATGAACTTTTTTCCTTCTCTTGAAAAAATGACCATTTTGGAGGTACAAAGTTCTGTTCTCAACAGTGACGATATTCTGGTTTTGCTGAGATCAGCATTACAGTTTCCATGCTACCAGCATACCAGCATCCAAAACACAACACACAGGTTTTGCTGGTGAGCAGCTACGCTGGTTTTTCTAGCTGGGATCAGTGATTTACATAAAGATTAGCATACATGCTAAACCTGACTAGCATCTAAAAAGCCGACTAGCATCCATTTTTGCTTTTTGGCTCAATAAAAACCCTGAGATCTAGAAAAGAAGGCCTGATGCTAACATGTTCAGTCTGGCTAGCATCTAGCAAACAAACTAGCATCAGTTTCTGTGTTCTGGTTAGAAAATCCAACAGTGTAGGCAAAAAAGTCAGATTTAGGTTATCATACATGCTAACATGAGTACTGCCCTCAGGTTTTGTGTGGACTTTGGTAGAAACTGTGCACTTTTTTTGCACGTCTGAGAGCATTTTTGACATTTTTACTTGTAATAGCTAAAGTTTGGCTTAAGACTGCTGGTCCTCAACAAAGAAAAGATCTCTTGGTGGCTGAAATAGTTTTTCTGTCTTTCTAGCTTTATATAAGGAGTATGTATATGGACATCAGCGCTCTCAGAATCGTACTGTTTACTCCATGGTTCTCATGCTGCTTTAAGCAGACTCTAGAGGGCATTGCAGTATTATGGTCCATCCTTTATTTCCCTCATTTCATATTGTGTTGGACTGACCCACCAGTCAATGAGTTAGAGTTCATAGACTTTTCTATCTTAAAGTTAAAGTGATGATCACAAGTTATTGGCTTTCACGTCTTAACAGTTACATTAATAAAGAAGAACTGAACTGCAGAAAAGCACTTTATGCTGAGATTTTGACTATTTATTCGACTGTTTATTCACTCTGAGAATAGATGTAGCTGAACTACAGATTAAGAGTCTATTGTCACTATAACAAAACCTCATTCTTGACCACAGTGAACATACAAAGGTGATTTTGGACCATTTCTATTGGTTCATTCATCATGAAATGTTCGTAGAACGTAAACAGTAGCTGGTGTTACTCTTCAAATGATGAAAAAAATAAAATGAAAAATGGATATATGAGGTTTATATCATATAGATATTCCGTATTTCATTTTAACTCCATTTCCACCATTGAGAATCCAGTTTCAATGTAGCGGCTAGCTAGTATTAGCCTCATCTGTGCTTACATTGGTTCCCGGTAATGTTCCCCACCCACACATCTCTCTTGCTCCGTCTAATACGTTTTAAGCAAATAAGTGCTTCCTGTCAGTCTGACACTTCTTCCTGTAGTGAGCAACAGTCTGCGTGATTAATCAGTTCAGGTATTGGCTTTTGGTTAGTACAAGGATGCTGCCTATTAGCGGGGACTATTTGTCTTAGCATGGTTATTAGCAAAGACTATTAGTCTTAAAGCACATAGCAGCTTCATCAGCCAGGCTGAGCAGCTACATTTAATGTACAATCCAGCGCCTGCTATTGATTAGCTTTATCGCTATGCTAGTACATACCATGTAGCTATACACTATATGGCTAAAAGTATTTGGACAGCCCTCTTATTGGGTTCAGGTTTTTCAGTCACACACTGCGAAAAGGTGTATCAGATCAAGCACATAGCCATGCAATCCATAGACAAACACTGGCAGTAGAATGGGCTGTACTGAAGAGCTCAGTGACTGTAATAGGATGTGCCACCTTAAATTTGTGAAATTTCTGTCCTGCTAGATCTGCCCTGGTCAACTGTGAGTGCTATTATTGTGAAATGGAAGTGTCTAGGAGCAACAACAGCTCAGCCACAAAGTGGTAGACCTTGCAAACTCACAGAGTGGGTCAGAAGACTAAGGCCTTTCCTCTGTTGCATCACTCACTACAGAGTTCCAAACTGCCACTGGAAGCAACATCAACACAAGAACTGTGCATCAGGAGTTTCATGAAACGGGTTTCCATGGCCGAGCAGCTGCACACAAGCCTAAGATCGCTGTGCGCAATGCCAAGTGTCGTCTGGAGTGGTGTGAAGCATGCCGCCACTGGACTCTGGAGTGATGAATCACGCTTCACTATCTGGCAGTCAGATGCCAGGAGAACACTACCTACCAGAATGCATAGTCCTAACGGTAAAGTTTGGTGGAGGAGGGATAATGGGCTGGGGCTGTTTTTCAGCATTTGGGCCCCTTAGTTCCACTTTGTGGAAGGTCCTTTCCTGTTCCAACATAACTGCTGCCCTGTGCACAAAGTGAGCTCCATAAAGACATGATTTGACGAGTTTCGTGTGGAGGAACTCCAGTGGCCTGCACAGAGCCCTGACCTAAACCCCACTGAACACCTTTGGGATGAGCTGTGATGTCAGTGCCTTACGTCTCAAATGTTCTTTCGACTGACTGGGTATAAATTCCCACAGACAGACTCCAAAATCTTGTGGAAATCCGTCCCAAGAGAATGGAGGCAGTTATAGCAGCAAAGTTTGTGGGGGGGACTCCATATTAATGGTTTTTGAATGGGACGTCCAACAAGCTCATTTAGGTGTGATGCTGAGGTGTCCACATACTTTTGGCCACACAGTGTATTTTACACTAATCGAGCCTGGAATCTAGACGCCCTGCTGACTTTGTCTGGGGACTTAAACCAGCAGTCCTGATAGACACTGTCTCTGCAGAAAGAGGGACAAGATAAGGAGGTGCTAAGCCCCCCTGTGGATTATGTGTTTTGGGGCAAGGAAATTCCCTTATGTTATAATCAGTGGTTCTAGAGTTATATAGATGTCCCTTAAGGGGGTATAGCTTACACCAAAGGGCTAAGGAACTGGAGTGGGCAGCTGCCTGCTGAGAATGTGCCCACTCAAGTCTTGTAAAGTTGTATGTATCTTAACCCATGCTCTCTTATACAAAGTGGGTTGGGACTCAAGTCAGAGGCTGTCAAGAAGCCTTTCCTGAGGAAAGGAAATAGACAAATTAAACAAAGAAGCTGATGGTGTTCCCAAAACAATGGACTGA